GCCTGAGGAATTTCTCAGTTGCAGTGTACTTCTCAAGGATTATTTCTTTGTTGTTTTTTCATTCCTCTTTATTAAATAATAGGAAACACATTTTAAAATGAAATTCTAAAAGTATTCATTTGGCTATATTCATGTGGGGCAAAGGGTTCACTGGATAAGGGACTCATTGATCAACTGTACATACTCTGTTTAGCCACACAGACACTAGGATTGTGCAAGCAGGCAGACGTGAGTTCGATCCCTGGTACCGATAAAAACGAAAAAGACAAAAAATAAAAAATAAAAATAAAAAGAAAAAGAAATACGTCCTAGGTGGAGTCTGAGAAGGTCCCTCTAACGAGTACACAGAGACCTCAACTCAACCAGGAAGGTTTTTGGCTCATATGGAACATAATTTTAGAATGTGTCGGTGAGAGATATGGTCAGATTTATTAAAAAGAATAAAAAATATACACACTCACAGAGTGAAAAGTAGGGATGCTTAAACAAGAGACCTTGGGTTGGAAATATATTTGTGGCCTAATCAAGTCAAATGACGTAGAATGCTTATTTTCCTGTTTGTTAGGTTTGCTTTAATGTCAATCAAGCATGTTAAATGCATATAATTGCATTTTGAAACTTACAGATATATTACCCAATTAAGAGTGTTGTTTGTTTATTTGTTGGTGATGCATATCTGATGATTGTGTTCATTTATAGTATCAGAAAAAGACACAGGCCAAGTTTGTGATGTGTGGTACTTTTAAGACCTTTAGGATTTTAGGAAGCAGAACCTTGTAAAACAACAACAACAACAATAATAATAATATTAATAACATCAACAACAACAACAAAAACAAACATGGAAGCCTGAGTGTAGAAAAGGTATTGCAACCACAATGAACTTCAGTTATGTCTCAAAGCTATAGCTTTCTCAAAATTACAATTTAAAAATTCCAGTTTTCTTGTCTCCATTCCCTCTTTATTTCTTTATCCTACCTCAGCTTTTATCCTAAAGACTCCTAAGAGCAGAAAGGAATGGGGTCAGGAAACAGCAACAAGTCAGGTGTAGAGCGATCGTCCCAGATTCTCAAGGCCCACGAGTATCAAAGGTGTTAATGATTCCCATCCTTTTTCCTTCTATTGGCACTATTTATAATGCAGTCTTTGTGTCTGCTCTTTTTATGATATATTAAAGAGTTACCTTTCTTATGTTTAGAAATCTGTCTTCTTAAGGATAAGAAAAATCAGTCTAATTTAAATGCAGGAAGAGGAATAGAGACTAAAATAAATAGAGAATTTGCCTTCAAACTCCATACAGATCAGCTTAAAGTTAAAGTGCAATATAATTTGACCTAACTCTTTCCTTGTCACAAAATTTGATGTTCTATGCTTTTTGGGGCAATGAATATTTGATGTTTGAGCAAGTTGGCTCTGCTAAACCGAAAGGAAACAATCTGAATTTGCATAGTTTACTATAACCACACAGTAACTCCACCTTATCTAATTAAGCCAATTGATCTTTATAAACAAATGAAGACAATCCCATCAATGAGCCAGAGATGCTAGCTCAGAAGTTGAGTTATGCTTTGGGATTTGGGGATCTTGCATGTGCAAGGTTATCCTCATCTAGCCACAGCCGAGGTACCTGGGATGCCATGACCCTTCCTGAGAGGTAGAGGAAGCCTTTGTGAAGGTGCTCCAGTCCTCTGACTGCTCAGTGTAATGTATCAACTCGACTTGAGTTAAAACAAATTAGTTAAGCTCTGCATATATTCTTGTATGATTAACAAACAGAACACAAAGGAAGGCAAAAAGATGGCAACTCCCCATGTATGTGGCACTAACCAACTGACTTGGAGCTTGTCTAGAATGAAAAGGTAAAAGAGAAGCAGTCTCTCTCTCTCTCTCTCTTTTTTTTTGGGGGGGGTCCCGTTTTCACCATTTCCTTTGCACCTTGGTCTCCAGTTTCTTTAAACTTCTAGTGAGAACTCTTCTGCCTCTCACTGCGGTCACATTGGTGACTCTGAAATGAATTTCTGATCCATAACCTACTGCTACTGGACTGTCTGGCTGTGAAAACAACCACTGGAATGCTTCCCAATCTGATCCTGGAAGCCTACCTAATAAATTCCTTGTGTAAAGTATATTTTTATCTTCTATTGATTCTGCTTCTTTAGAAAACCCAAGGTAATAGAAGTACCTTGTTGTTCAACATTTCATATCTTTGTTTATGAGACGAGTGCTTGAGACAGAATCTGACTATGTAGTCCAGGCCGGCCTTGGACTCACTATGTAGCCCAGGCTGGCCTCTAATTTCCTGCCTCTCTCATCCTCCTGAGCACTAGAATTACATGTATTTTCCATTACTCCTGCCTGTAAACATTTTATTGTTTTTTAAATTCTACCCTAATTTAAATAAAAATAAAATAAAATATTTTCTATTCTGAATACACTTATAAAGCTTTATTTTGTTTGGCTTCATGCAGAAAACAAGAAGAAAGTCATCTGAACTTGTACAAAACTTTAACTAAAAACATTTTTTGCTAAAATGCTCTAACATATATTTTAATTTTTCTGAAGATAACAATGAAATTTTTTAAACCCACATTTGGAAATAATTTTGGTATAAAGTAAAGCTAAATCTCATGTAAAATACCTTATTTAAATTTTAAGTGAGCAGCATAGAACTTGATGCAGAAATAATTATGAAAGCATTTCTATGTCTTCTTTCATATTTTTCACACATTTTATGTAAACTACCATTATTGATTTTAAAAACAAGGCATATAATTTGATGTGACATTGGAATATGTCATGGGGTGAAGAGAATTAAATATTTTCCAAGCACCTTTTTTAACCAGTTTTGCTTAAGTGCATCTGTACAAACCTAAAGCAAATTTTCCACATTTATTCTATTTAAAATTTCCAAGAAATGATTATATTCTATACAAGCAGCTAATCTTTTTAATATTAAACTATAATGCATTAAAACAGTTTCATCCTTTAAAACACACTTTTTCTTCCAGACTTACGGAGAACTGAAAGGAAATTAACTCAACAGTGAACAAGAGACATAAAACATGAAACACGACTAGATAACACCATCCCGTGGTCAACTCCTGTAGCTCACACTCTGCACTATTGGAAAAATTGTGCACTGCAGCTGCCTGATGATAAGCTGTGCTATGCCGCTCTTAAGTGGGAAAAATGACTGAAAACCAGCAAGAAATCCTTTCTGGTTGTTTGTTTTGTTTTTCAGTATAATCATCTTTTTAATACAACCTCCTTATTTATCAGAACAAAGTGAAAACAGAGATTCTAAGACACCACAGATATATTAATTAGGTTAATAACCTGATTCAGATGTCCCCACTGCAATGGCTGAACCAATACCGTAAGAGCATAGTCTCCTTTCCTTTCCTCTTCTTTCCTCTTCCCTCTATTTCCTCCTTATGCCCACTTGCCTTCTTCCCTCGTTATCCCTAACTTCTATTTTTTTCGTTTCATCTTTATTTTTTCCCTAAATTGTCTCAAAAGTTTTAAGAAGAATTCTTAATCTGTTAAAGTAAGTTAAAAACAGCATTTATCACAAGGATAGTGTAAATTTAGGTTAATGTAAATTTAGGTATTAGTTAAACATGAAAGATTTAGCTTGCTCATAAGTGAAAGGGGAGGCAAAGAGGCTTTTTTGATCGCTACTTTAAAAAGGAATTTTCAACTTTCATTAAAATCTGAGGTGTCTACATAGATATGTCCATTTCATTAATATGTTTTATATATACGACAGGAATCAATGTTTTAAATACATGTTTGGCGATTGCTTTAAGTATTTTGTTGTTTTTGAAACTTGAAATAATAAGGAAATCATAATGATAATTGAGTAATATTATCAGAGTTGGGGTGCTAGGGCTATTCTACTAATTACAGCCATGTATCATAGTTTTAGAGCAACAAACCATGTCAGAATATTTGTAACAAGTGATACCTATATCCACTTTTTTCTTATTAGGTATTGTTGTGTGGGTGCACCTATCTGTATGTATTCTCTTATTCTTTAATCACAAAATATATATTCTTAATGTGGTTTGCTAGCAGCTGTAGTGCTAGTCACATGATAAGGGCTCAGATGACTTCTATTCTTAACCACAATGATAGTGCAGATAAACATATGATTTTCTGTATTCTAAATAACTGCACTGCCAGAGAATGAACACCCCTCATTTTCTCATGGAATGTGAACAGCGATTAAGACTACAGTTTCACTCAGAATTTGTCACCGTATTTCCTTTATTCTCTATTTTGGACCTCATGATTTGTATGACTGTAGGTTCTAAGAAAAAGTTAAAAATAGAGAAAATAAAGGTTCATTACATATTCTACTAGATATGCTCCTAAGCTATCATTTCTAATTTGGAAATTCCTGATTTTAAGGGCTCTTGTTTCTCTTCAGCTGAGAACACAAAGATCTGCCTATTACAGACATGTAATAAAATCCAGTGATTTTGACAGAAAATAACAAGGCAGAGACGGTGATCATGTATTTGAAGATCTCTGCTTCACAGCTCAGGAGAGAACTCCTCTGTAAGCATCTTTTGTGGGTCTTCTAAAAAAAATTAAAGGAGAATTCTTTATGTCTGACCATTAAAACATTGAACCACTTTTAATAGCAGTGAACCTGGCTACATTGTACTCATATAAGAGTAATTTTTTCTCCACTCAGACCTTTCAGGACCAGTACCTTTCACGCTATCTCATGTACTTAGAGTAGGTGTACAGAAAACGCTTGTGGAATGAATGGACGTCCCACTCTATTTCCATTACAGACATGCATTTGTCCACTTGCATTTCCTCACCTCTAGCACATCTATTATATTCCTTGTCTAGCTAATTCTTTCTTTCCACTTTTCAGTGCAAATGTCATTCTTCATTGGAAACACAGTGTGCATATTATTGTTCTCCTGTGTAGAACTTCTGCTCTACAGAACAATTACAGCTTCTAAAATGTATCTTTCTCCTAGCGGATTTCCGGATCTCTACATCTTCTCTTGCATCACAGTACTAGTTACGGATGGTTGGGCAGCACAACCTGAATGGATGGGAATGTCCTCAGGACTCCACCCAGAATGGAACTCATTGTTGGCCTTCAGGTATATTTCATTTATGAATGAAATTAATCAAACAAACGTTTTAGAGAAGTAAATGAGAAATCTTTTGATTTAAGACATAATATGTTGGGTCTGGGAATTTAGCTCAGTGGCTTAAGCGCCTGGTCATGAGTTTGAACCTTGGCACAAAAAAAAAAAATACACATAATATGTTTTTCTACCAGTATCTCCTTTCAAAGAAAAACTGTTATCTATGACAGAGTGAAAAAACTCTTAAGTGAATAGCGAATGCATTCTTACAAATGAAAAATCAAGGTCAAAAATAGAAGACAGTGTTTGCATGTATAAAAGAAAATGGTTTTGAAAACCTTTTATAACCTTCCTTTAAGGGGAGTCAGCCATCTTCTTTAAGATTGACAATTGATTTAAAGAATAAAAGCAATGTCTATTCGCTTTACCTTTTAGTCACTATGTCAGGAAGAACTGAGACTCAACATCAGTGTTTTATATACAATGCTGCGTGTGTTTCTTTTATCCTGAACTGGATTGTAACAAGTATTGGAAGTTGATTGTTGTATTCCCTTCTTAGAAATATGTGAGGGTAAGCCTCATGTGGGGCAAACAAATACAGGATGGAAAGTTTCCTGAGAGAGTCACACAAATGTGTGAAGATCACAGGGCTGAAGGAACTTTGGAAAAAATTTAAAATGAAGATTTATGTAAGCTAGGTACCCTAGAGATGGAATTTGCAGCCAGCCTGCTTGTCTTTTCCAAGATTAACTTTTTTTCCCTTTGATAATTGAAATTTTTGTCTTTTACTGGACACACTTCAGCTTGGAACAAAAGAAACTGTTTTCTAGTTCTCTTTGCAACTAGATACATGGTTCTAATTCAAGATTCTGGACACCAATACCTGAATGAAATTGTGTGGAGTCTTCTCCAGTACCAAGATGGAGATAGTTCAGATGGGAAAAGCCCTTTTTCTACACTAGCATAAGTCCTTTTTCATGCCCATACAACAGGACTAAATTACCTCCATATAGAAGTATAGAAATATTTTTATATGAGAGAAAACTAATCTATACTTTGTATGCATTTAAATTCAAGATGAAATAACAGTCATTTTCAACAATCTTCTATAATATAGTGCAATGATGAATAGTAGCATATCCAGAGCTTGGGCTAGCATTTCTAAGAAGAGAACTCAATTTTTGGATCATTCCAGAAAATTTAAGTAGTGTACCCTTATTAAACTGACTTCCTGTCTATCCCAGATCCCATACCTCTGCTTAGAGGAGGGACTCCTTTGATTGTGTAGGCCAGTTATAGAAACTGAGTTATATGAATTGATGTCCCAAACAATGTGAACTGTCATTTGAGAAGTTCCATGTTCCCAAAGGAAAGTCACATTCTTATAAAATAAGGAAGAACAACTGCAGAATAGAAAGTCCACTACAGTACTTTACTACGGTACTTCTAACAATTTATCACTTATTTTCAAATTTAAAGTTGTTAAACTGAGCTTATGTCCTTTACTACCTTGCTTTAGCCTTTCACTTCTTTGAAATTTCTTTTCTGACAGATGTCAGGGAACTTTCCTCTTTATTGATTTTCTACATGCTTTATCTCTCATCCATCTAGTCCCCATTTTCGCCTTTCACTCTGACTCCAAAATGTCAAGTTTATTTCCTGAAAGCAAACACACATCTATTTTTATGTGCTTAATAATAGGACCAAGATTTTTATTGCATTGTACCAGAAAATTTAATCCAATAATTAGAGTTTGTGGATCATACATGCAAAATGTACATGATTGTTTTCATTTTATCCCTCTTTAGTAGAAACTATTAATACAAATGGTAAAATATTAGCTATTATTTTTAATCTCCTCTTTCAAATAAACACTATTTTCCCTAAAACTATAATTCTTATATCTTTCTCAGCTTTCAAATTTTAAAAATAATTAACCTTGTGATATGAAGGTGATTCAGTGGCTGTAGAATATCACTTGCATTTTTTGAAGTAAATTTAATCATATTTCTCTGAATTAGGTATTCACATGATGCCTCACTAAATAGTTAGACAATACGCACATTTCTTTGTATTTTCAATTTCTAATTCCCTGAACAAACAGATGGTTTGCAGACCTCTCTTTAGTTGATTTTATAAAGCATTTTACCTAATGATCATGAACCTCATGAAATTCTGTTTCTGTAGCATCAGTTCCCTTGATGCTTTTAAAATTTTTTTCCTATGCAAGTATTATTCTTTCCATAGAAGAAATAGAACTGAACATCTCTATTTGAACAATATGCATCTATTTATTAAAATTCTATAGCAGTAACTGTAGGTCAATATCCCTTTTCTTAGCCTAAGCATCCTCTATTAACACATTCAGTAAATGACGGAAAGAACTAAGGCTGGTTTGCATTTCTGTTACCACCAAGCAAATGCCAGGACAGGACAGGTGAACACAAAAGCAAAAGTCAACCTAGTTTTACAGAGGATCCATTTTTTCATATCTTTTTTTTTTTTTTTTTTTTTTTGTGTTTTTGAGACAGGGTCTCACTATGTAGTTCAGGCTGGCCTTGAGCTCACTTTGTAGCCTAGGCTGGTCTTGAACTCACAATGATCCTCCTGCCTCAGCCTCCCCAGTGCTGGGGTTACAGGCGTGAGCCACCACGCCCCATCATTTTCTGAGTAATAAAGTCCTTTGAGGACTCCAGTGATTCTGGCAGAAGTGGTATTGCAACCATACAAATCAGGAAAAAAGTTTCTTCTAAATAATAAAAATAAAATATATCAAAAACCCAGACTTAAAATTAATATTATTAGTTCAAATAGTTGTCTATCTAGATCAAGAAACCCTGAAGGAAATTCAAAATTTCTATTAAAATCCTGACAAGTGATTGGATCTTTGAAAACTAGATCGGGAAAAGAAGACAAACAGTCAAATAAAAAAATTTACATATTGTTTCATAGAACAATAGGAGAGCTAGTGGGAATATAGAAAAAATTTCAAAAATATTGAATTCTTTTCTTCTTTATTACAGTTGTCAGTATTAGAGGTAGTATTTTTGTGTAAAATTTGCTAAGTGTGCATTATACTTCTTAGTTCTGTCAGTATCACTCTTGCCTTTAAGACCCATTATCTCTCTCAGAGTGAGTCATGCAGCTTGTTGTGACCCATGACTCTTGAACTCTCCTAAGGTAAACTTTAAAACTCTAGTTTGAATTTGCTGTCTGTTTCTTGCACTTTTTCTAAAAGGCTGAGACCATTGCAGATAGAGGATTTCATCCAGCTAACTCATAGCTGACCCATAACTGACCTGTACTAGCATATGATGTGGCTTGGGGCATTATAATTTAGCATAAAGTGACTAATAGAAATTTATCAATAAATTCTTTAAGAAACATGTGATTTGTGAGCAAGTCCTGAAGCAAAGGAAGGATTTTCACAAAGAGAAATTATCATTTGAGATGAAACAGATAATAGGAAAAAATAATGATAAACATACACTTTTGTATACTAGGGGATAGCAATTGCATTTTCTAAAAACCAATACATTTTGTTCTAACAATCCTTGAATCAATTTCTTTTGTTTAAATATTTTGAGCTAAAAATTCAGCTGAGTTGGCCTGTATTAAATACATTTCATCCTATACAAATTTTTATAACATTACCATTTAGCTAAAGGTAAAATATTCATTTGTTATCAGTAATTATTCACAAGTTAATTATTCTAAAGTTGGAGAAATGTGATGAAAACTAGTTTTCTTCTAGCTTAGTAAATATGAACCGTACATGCAATAACAACCAAGTTTTCAATCAGATGAGCATAACAGGAGATAATTAATTTGGAATGGTTTTGAATGATATTAGTCATGGTATGACTCAGCAGAAAGAATTATTCCAAAGATTAAAAGAAAAATCATCCTAAGTTCAGTACTGTGAAACTTATATATTTGCCAAAAATATGCTTATTTTCATGGTCTTTAAATTAAAAAAAAAAAAAAACTATTGTATTCCATAGTAGAATTTTTAAAAGGATTATGAGATAAATTTCAGTAAAGAGCATCCTATCATCAGCACAAATACAAGCCTTATCTCCCTAACAGTATAAGTACAGCTAATTTCTCTTTTGGGCCTGAGTCTGGATAAAGAAGTCACAAAAATTCAGTCTTAAAGGCAATGCTGTCATTCATTGTTGGGCAAGGTGAAAGAAAGTGTTAGCTGAGAAGGTCTGATGAATCATGGTTTTCTCAGAACACATAAAGTCCCTGTAAGGACCAAAGCGGGTGGAGAGCTCTAGGCTTTTTTGATGTAGAATTTACAATACGATATAGAATGCAGATGTTTGTATCAGATCAGTAGGTAACATATGTCAAATTATTTTGAATTGTAGATTCACTAATCATTTAGTAAAACAGCGTACATGCATTCTAGTATACAAATGTGATTCATTTGAAAGAATAGAATTAATGAAGATCAAAGTCTGCCTAGACAATGAACGTAAGAAAGAAAGAAATTTCAAAGTAAAGTTAGAAATGACCTTTAAATCTTTTCTTCTGGAAGTCTTTAAAGATAAGCAATCCATCTTTTGAGATTTCTGAGTTTTTCCTTATGGTTGTAAGGTTCTTCAAAATGTTTATACAATATTCTATATTTCATTATAAAAAAACTTACAAGCACTTGGATTAAAAAAACATATTTTATTGTATTTCTTTCCATCATGTAGATAGCACCAATTTTATCTTTACAAAATGTTGACATAATGTAATGAATAATCTTATGGAAATAGAGGTTTAATCCAGATAAATTTGATTGAATCTTTAAAAACAGCTAAATTATGAAAAAAGGTAATATTGCAATATGACCACAGAAATATAAAGGGTAACCAGAGTTTACTGTGAACAACTTTATACCAATAAATTTGATAACACAGAAGAAAGAGAAGTTCCTAGACACATGTAACTTACCAAAATTGAATAATAAGGAAATAAAAACAAATAATAGACCAATAATTAGTAGTTTGATGGAAAGAGTAATGAAAATTCTTTCAACAGTGAAAAGCAAATTGACATCATTATTAAATTATATGAAGTATTTAAAGAATTATGAGGTCAGTGATATAATTAAGTGACCTAGCACCTATCTGGCAAGTGTAAGGTCCTGAGTTCAATTCTTGGTACTGAAAAAAATGATAAAAATTAATAACAAATGTCCTTAAGTAATTTTTGAAAAGCACATAGGAAGAAAACATCCTTTTGTACCTTTCTGTGTACCTTTCTATCCCGTGATGGGATAGAAATATCCTATCACGGAAGTCAGACAATCTTAAAACAACACAGTAAGTAAAGAGAAAAGAAAACAGAAGAAAAACCAACTACAGAGAAAAATGCTAGATGAATATAAACGTAGAAATCATCAACAAAAAAGTATCAAACCAAAATGTGAGCACACTGAAAAAAATATTCACCACGGTCGACTGGAAAAATATTTCATGTATGTTTTCAAGGTACACAACTCTTTATAAATTGATAAATATAAAACACCATATAAACAAGATAAAATACAACATTTATGTGATTGTATCAATAGATGTGGAAAATGTCTGTAATAAAATCAACATTTCTTCTAGATAAAACTGCAAAACAAAGTAGGAATGAAAGAAAGAGGTCTCAACATAATAAAGGCAATTTCATTTCCTGAAAGGTGACACCTAACATTATATTGAGAGGGGACAAAGTGACCAGCATTGTCTCTAAGATCTAGACAAAGATAGGGCCTCCCATTTTTATTACTTTTACACAGCACAGTATTAAAATAGCCTGAGCAATCACCAAAGAGGAAGAAACAAAGATGATCCAAATTAGACAGCATGACGTCAAACTGTAATGGCTTGTAGGTGATATGAACTCAAATCTGTCAACAGATGATTAGGAATAATAAATGGGCTTTGTAAAGTGGCAGAGTACAAAATCAGCATGCAAAACCTGGCACTATTGCATATATCAGTGTACAATTTTATAATCTAGAGTTCAAGAAAACAATTGCATTTACTGTGGGGAAAAAAAAAAAAAAGCCAAACCCAACCAACCAACCAAGAAACAAACAAAACTATCTTGCAATAGATGAAAGAGCTTTACAATGAAAATTAAATAATGTTGATGAAATAAATAGAAAGGAACACAAATAAGTAGAAAGCCATTCTATGTCATGAATTGAAAGTACTCTTTTTATGATACTTGTAAGATTCAGAACAATTTTAAGATTCAGTTTAACCTTTATCTATAATTTTTTTTTTTTTACAGAATGAGGAAAACAATTTTAAAACTTGTTTGAAACTGCAAATGATCCAAATGGCCAAAGCCATCTGAACAAAAAAGAATAAAGTAGGAGCATTACAATACATGACTTCAAAATATGCTATAAAGCTGTGGTAACAAAAACAGCATTGTTTAATACTGGTTTAGAAAAAGACATATTGACCAAATACACAATATAAATCCTAAATAGAATGTGTACCCATGTTTATAGCAGCACAATTTGTAAAAGCCAGATCTTGAAAGCCATCAACTGAGGAATAGATAAAAAAGATGTGGTATTTTTATACAATGGAGTATTACTCTGCCATAAAAAATGATCACATTGAGATATTCATAAGTAAATGGATGCAACTTGAGACCTTCTCATCAATGAAATAAATCAAACTCACCTGTGTAAATACCATATAGTCTCCCTAGTGTAAGAAATGGTAAGAGTACATAAGATACAAAAAAGCTCAATAAACACAATAAAAGGACAAGAATTTGCTTAAGGAGGAAAGAATAATATCTCAGGGGAAATGAGGGGAACAAAAGAAAAGGAAAAGAAAAAAAAATATAAAATTATATAAACACACTTAGTATAGCCAAGATGATTGTGCTACAAACTCTATTAGTTCTTGGAACAAAATAGCTAACATTCATAGGACTGGAACACTTGTGCATATTATTGTATGGTGATCTGAGGAATTCTTGAAGATCATTATGTAAAATAGCAGCCCTAGTTAGGCTCATAGCTCTTTGTTTTGAAAGCCTATATTGTCAGTGTTCTGGGCTCTTTGCTACTGTTGTTTAAATGTCATTTTGTTTCATGTTTTTCTAGGAATTTGTTTTGTTTTGTCTTTTTTCCTCTAATACAGAAAGAATAGGTACGCATGTAGCGAATCATGCCTGCGTAGAACTTCTAAACAGTTTATAGGAATCAATTATATAAAGATCAATAAAATGAACAGCTACTTTGAAGAAAAAGAGACACTAAGGTACCCGTTGCTGATTCTGTAGCATCATGATGTGAAATCCAGCAACACTATTATTCTTTGTTCAGAGTGATTTTAATTTGGTTTAATTTCAACATAGGTAAAGTTATGGACAGTTATTTTGAAGAGAATGAGAGACATTATGGCAGCCATTGTTGACTTCTCTATATTCTGGTCTTGAAGACCTAAAATGCCTTTATCATCCTGTTGGGATCAGTTCTATATTATATTTTGCATGAATTCATTGTATGCAAAGATATGGACAACTATGTGGAATAAAACGAGACAATGTGATAGACAGTGAAAATCTCTGGTTGTCTTGATTTGAAATCTGCGTCTCTTACATTGTTTTCTTATGATCTGTTTTCTATTTAATTTTACCCTCTTTAAAGTAAAAAAAAAAAAAAAAAAAAGTTAAAGAATCCCTAAACACAAATTCACATAGCTATGACTAACCAATTTTGACAAAATTGCTAAGACAATGCATTACAGCAAAAAGAATCTTCACCACAAATGTTGTTAGGAAAATTGGATTTCCAACGATAGCAAAATAAATTTAGATTCCTATTTCTCACCAATTTCCTAGAAATTTACTGAGAGTGGGTGGAAGGTTTGAATGTAATACCTGAAATGGGAAAATACTGGGGGAAAAAAGAGAAGAAATACTTTATGATACTGAAATAGATATAGAATAAGTGGGACATCAAAATCACAGGAAACAAACACAAATCAAAAGAAACAACATTTTATCAAATTAAATACACAGCCAAAGTCAATCAGCACAATGAAAAGATGAAAAGACAACCTACATAATTTATAAACTATACATATTATAAGATATTGCCAGAATGTATAAAAATTCCAAAAATGCAATACCAAAATGCAAATAACTTAATTTTAAAAATGACCTTTAGACCTAAACAGAAATTTCCTAAAGAAAATATACAAGTAGCCAATTGATGTATGAAAGAATGGTCAGCATCACTGATCACCAGGAAAAGGAAATTCAAAGTCACAGTGCAATGAGGTGAGACGCATAGTACTTCACCCATGAAGCAGAGTCACTGGTTAGAAAAGTCACCAGGAATTGTAGAGAGAAAGCTCAGGGCTGGAAGGATGTGAGGAAATGTACAGTACATACTAGTGGCAGGAATGAAAACCAGTAGTTATTGTGGAAAACTGTACTGAAATTCTTTTAAAAATGAGAACAAAACAAAACTATCTTATAATCCCAAAATATTGCTAGAAGGCTTGTAGCAAGATATTAAATCAGTATTTTGAAGGTATATCTGTACACCCATTGTTATGGATTAAAAAATGGTGGTCAACTTAATGCCGGCGGAATTAAATCAGCTTGGTGCCAAGCGTAGATGTTCCCCCAGAGGAAAGTTCCCGGCATAGAGCTGTGGAGAAGGAAAAAGGAGGCATTGTGGGTTCTCCTATGTGCTGCTGTTAGAGCTGTTGATTCTCTGGAGGAGTTCGTCATGACTAGCTTCCCCAGTGTGAGTTCAACCATTGTCATCAGAGGAGCTAGGAACCTTGTTGATGAGAGAGGCTATGGTTCACTGTGGGGGAGCTCTGGTCCTTACATTGAGCATTGCTTCTTGGCTTCAGAGCAGAAGACATATGCTGTTTAGTTTCCAGGACAAACTTGTCATGCTGGCTTGCTGGCAGGCAAGTGGTGATTCCTTGCCTCTGCTTATCGTTGGAGGAGCTCAGGACTTCTGTGTCACTGAGGATGACTGTGGTGCTTTCAGGACAGTGCTGGTCTTGTATTGAGTGTGACTTGTTGGCTCTAGTGTAGAAACTCAACCTACCAGCACAGCTCCTTCACCCCCCTGGAATAGACTTTCTAGTTTCCACTGCTGACCTTTGGGTCTTCCCAGCATATATCCATAAAGAGACTAGTGTGAGTCCTTGTGGGCTCTAGATCTCCAGCTGGACTTGTGGGAGCATTATCATGAGCGCTGTCTTCATCTGGACTCAGGTGGGACATTGCTGAGGAATCCAGGCCCTTGGCTGAATATTCTGTATCTTTAGTGTTGTGGATAGATATCCTGCACCTCGTTCTGTTAACTCTGGGTGACCATCATGAAATAATACTATAAATTTTGTGTCCTTATTCTAATTGTAGTCCTCCCAACCCCTGACTACAACACCCATGTTCATGGCAGCACTATTCCCAATAGGCAAGAAGTGGAAACAATCTAACAGTCCACCAAATCGTAGATGGATAAATAAAATGTAATGTGTATATATACCCAGTGGACTGCCTTTAGTTATATAAAGAAAGGCTGCCCTTAGCGACAATATGGATAGAACTGGAGATCGTTAGTCTAAATGACATAAGGCAGAAATGCAAATCCTGTGTGCTCTCACATGTATCAACAATTATACAATCCTTGATCTCATGTAAGTTGAGAATAGAATGGTAAACACCAGTGACCAGGAATTGTAGAGAGAAAAAAAGGGTGGAGAAACACCCATCAGTGGTCACTAATTCATAGTAAGATAAAAGCAGAGTTTCTAGTTTGCTAATGCTCTGTGTCCATATAGAATGATATTGTTCTGTATGTTCATAAAAGTTTGAAAAGGTATTTTGAAAGATTTTCATCAAAAAAGAAGTGATAAATGCTTGAAGTAATAGATCAGTTTAACCTGATTAAAGCATAACACGATATATACCTGTATCCTAAGGCTACAAGACATCCCTTTAATATGAACAGATTTATGTTTTCATATACCAGATAAAAATAAAGAAAAAAAAGCACCATATATATGCATATATATGTATATATAATTAAAAGTTGTTCAATTTGAGTGTGTGAGTTAATGAAGATATTTAAATAGGACAATAATTGATGTAATTTCAATTGTATTTTTTTTGAAGGGAAATACTGGAAAGATAGACAATTTAGAAACATATAACGATCTAAACTGGTGTCAGTGGCAATGGAAAAGAGCCAAATGTTATCAAAATTGAATAAAAAGGCACAATAAAGCTTTTGTACCCATATATCCAGGTGATTGATTTACTTGTAATAGTTTCCTCCTAACACAGAGCTGTTATGAATAAACAGTTGTTGATGTAATGTAAGCATGGTGTAATGACCACAAGGGCAAAATAAGAAACAAAGTGGTGATTCCTTGTTATTTAAAAGTCCTGGGGATTTAGCTCAGCGGCATAAGCACCTGCCTTGCAAGCAGGCAGTCGTGAGTTTGATCCCCGGTACCGATAAAAAGGAAAAAGACAAAAAAAAAAAAAAAAAAAACAAAAGTCCTACCTGGAATTTAGAAAACAGCCTTCCTTTAAACAAAAACTGAGAAATTTCAAAATAAGTCATAATGTACTGGAAAAATTTGCAGGATTTCTGAAAGGTAATTTTGAAATAACTCAGTGACAATTTTTAATAGGCAGGGAAAGGAGGACTAAAAGCTAAAGATAAATAAACGTGGCAAGTGCAGGTACGAGACCTGATTTTCAGAACCATGATTCACCAACTACTTCTGTGATGGAGAGAGTCACATAGTTTCTCTGACCTTATTTTCTTTTCACATAATGTAAAAAGGTTGTGCTCAGAAGACATAAAAGTGTTCAGGTGGCTAAAGAGAGTAAGAAAGAAGGCTTTGTAATTTTTAGGTGTTAATGGAAGATCATAGCCATTAAATTTGTTTATCGATTTATCACTTATAATTATCACCTATTAACTTTGAGATATTGAGTCTCTAACTCAGCTTAACAGGTTTGTGTTTGTTTTTTGTTTTGTTTTTCATTTTTAAACTTAAATTTAGGCCTGTGCAAAACTGAGTAGAAAGGGAATGACTATGGGACAGTTTGGGTAGAAATTCTAGCTGTAAATATCATAACTTTTGAGACTTTCTTATACATGTTAGAATTAGTTGACCTTTAAAGTTTTTTGAACATGTCTAGTATGATCTACTTTGAATAAAAACTAGCTTGATAAATCATAATTTTAAATAATGAAACAGAATTTAGAACTTTCAATAATTCCTGATTTATTGAATTGATGTTTCCTTAAAGTAATAGAAGTTAAATATGACTCAAAAATTCTTGTGTTTGTTATGTAGTTAATATTATCTCTACAGTAAAGCATGAATTCACTCACTCCCTTTAGTTGTGAATACAAAATTATATCTTGAGGAAACATTAATCATCAGATTTGTTATCTTTTCTTTTCACCTATTTTCTCTTTTCAATGTGTTTTGTACAATTTTAAAGTTGTCAACGTAATTCTCTTAGAGTTTGAACTTATGATATTGATTCGCATGAATCAGTTTTCAGTAAGATCTAAAACTGTTTGGTTGTAATACTCTTTATCATTTCACTTTGGTTTTGTATATGGCATTTTTAAGGTCTAATTTTTCAATTTTCTTCCACATACTGTTTCTTCCACATGTAGGAAACAGGATGCAGTATTCCAACGAGAAAACACCAAGTCAAATTGTTTTAAGAACTATGCATTTTCCTAAGAACATTTATCCAGTTTTCCTGACTGATCATTATCTATTCGGTAAAATTTCCCAAACAACTCATTAATATTTAAATAGCTATCCGAATTATAAACTTCACACAGCAGAATCCAAATGTCATTTATGCATAATGCAGGAGAACTTTGCAGAAAACAAACGTTGGATCACAATTGCTCTCTAATCCACCTCTTGAATTTCTACAGGAGAGTTCAATGCCAGTGCAATTCAAATCAATTCAGTTAGAGTTGATGTTAAAACTTCCTTTATAAAGATAAGATGGCAGAAACAAAACACTGAATTTAAGAAAAAAGCCCATTGTTAAGGGGTGAAATTTTTTTCTGTGGGAAAGTCGCACAATTTTACAACTGTTTGTTGGTTTCTGACATTATAGATATAATCAAATTCTCACTAAATTTACATTTGAATCTTCTAAAATGATTTAAATAAAATATCATCTCACTATTATACTATGTATTATTTATTAAAATACCTTTGACTTTTAAATAGTAAAAATTTTGTTCTTTTACAACCACAAAATAATTGGAAAAAAAGAAATTGTCATAGAACCCTAATGATACCATATCAACCTACTTCTCTCATTCATATAGTAAGCATTATTTTCTACACAATTTTAAAGAATATTGGCTAGAGCATTAAAGTGCATAGTTTATTTGTATGTAGTAAATATATTATACAACCCAATGTGAGAATAAAATACGTCTTTGTGATATCCAAATGACTTTTTTTAGCAGAAATGTTTAGTTCTTCCGCACACCCTAGACTGTGAATACACACAATGTATATAGTTGAACACTG